CTGGCTGGTGTCTCCTGATGTCAATGGCTTCTTGTAGTTTCCTTTGTATCCAGTTGTTGTTGTTGGTAGGTAGGACTTAGCTTGCTGGCTTCCCACATGATGTTATGGTCTTGGGTCTTGAGGATGCGTTCGAAAATAGCGAATTTCAGGTCCAGTTTGTTGATAGAGGGCTGGTGTTCTTTGAGTCTGGTGTTGAGGGGTCTGACCTGAGAGTTTCTCCAATGTATTTGTGGCCACAGTTGCGGGGGATCTCGCATATACATCCTCTAGGGTTTGGACATGCGCTGCTGTTCCTCTGTCATTGGCTCGTAGATTGGTCTTGATGGTCCTGCCACTAGAAACAGTGACATCTATGTTGGCTTTGCTCTTATTGACCGGGCCTTGGTAGGGTATGGTGATTCCGATCGGCGACGGGGCAGGTTGGGGCCTGAGTTCGGAGTAGTTTAGTTAATAGATTCCCGCATTCACCTAATTTGACTTATGTTGCACTATTATTAATGGAGTACTATCCTCATCATGAAACGAAATGAATTACTGACATTTTCGTCACCTTTTGCTTTATTTCATGGCTTGCATGTTTTATGTCTTTTGCGAAGTCGGAGAAAAACGGCAGTGCTACATATATAAAGATTAATATCCTTCTTACCTAATATTCGTCCTCAGTAAAATTCCAACTCGATTTGTAAAACAGATTTTGAAACGTTTTCGGCACAACATTAGATTACTGCTTTTACCATAACTTCTTTGAGAGTCATTTAGAAGTTGGAGTACGAAGTAAGGATAACTGAAATAAAGAAGCTGTTTATCCGTATAGCTTATCCTTACCATGTACATAATTTATTTTAAATAAACGAAAACGAGTTCGTCTATTGCAATTGGACAAGATGCGTACCTGATAGATATCAGTTAATACATAAACCAAATAATAACAGAAACATATTTTCAAAATCGGACGTGTAGGTGTGTTCATCAGAATGTGATTCACAGTCTTCGTTTTGTCTCAATATTATTCATTTGAAGTATACAAATATGCAAAGAACTTCCTTTTCAGAATAGAATTACCAGGGCAAATCGTAAATACTCGCCTGACAGAATGGCTATATTATCCGGTTGTTATATTTTACTGCTTCTGTTGATTTTACCAAATCATTGCGTGTTGCCAAAGTGTAATGTGCCAAAGTGCCAAAGTATGCCACGAAAGGTCCTGAAACACACTCTATTTCTTGATTTGCTCTATTTACATGTTGAAACAAGTACGGTATTGAGAGCAGAGAAATCGGTTTCAAGCAGATGATATCAGAGAAGAGAGAACCTTCAGTGGTACCCATGTTAAACTGCGGCATGATATCTCATTGGACTAGAACAGCATTAGTCCAGGCTAGTTCAATCACAAGCACACACTTTTATTGCACTCATCACAGATGAACTATACATATATTTATAGTCTGGTAACCAGACACAGACTATCGCTACTGAATGACAAAAGGCAATAATTAATTAAGTTGTATAAACCCTTCATTTATCCTAGGGATATCCCCGGACTCTGTTGATGTGACAATGAATGGCTTACTCTATCTAGAGATTGCCACAAACACGTTCCTGTGAACAATGACGGGGATATATGCCATTAAGCCTTCTCTAGTTACCGTTAACAATAGTGATTCAAAACGTCAACGCCGGAGACCAATCAGTCTCAAATATCTGCGTGGACAGGTTCCATGGGATGTAAAAGGCAAAATAATGATGACAATTATATGAATGGGTAATTGAGAATCAGGGATGACACCATGTGTTCGCGGAAAAGGATAGCATGGCATGATCATGCTCTACCTGTAACCAGCCACAATTTTTTTCAAAGAGCGCCATACGACTGTTGCTCAAAAGGTTACAGCATTCAAGGCCTCAGTAAAGCTTTCAAAATGTTTTATGGTAGACATGTGGAGGACATTTCCAAATTTGACGCATCAGTGACAGAAATGATGTCCGATGCAGTTGTCCCTATTTTGACTTGTACCATATGTTCCCGCGTTTGTCAGGTGAAAATTGACTTGCCTTTGCATGTGTTTGTGACGTGTGCCACCAGTGGGGCAGGATGCGATCACCTTTTCGCGACCACCTGGTATCATTACTATTTAAGCCAGAGCTTAACAAGTCTAGAATATCTAACGAAACCTTTTCCATGGCGTAAAATGCAAAATAGAGGTGGATATTATATAAATTGATAACTGAATATCAGTATTGACACCAGGTTTTGGCGATAAGGGTGAGCATTTCCAGCCCTACCGCCATTTCAATATGTCGAATGAGGTGAGTGAGTTTAACATTTAACGTCCTTTTCAGCTATATAGTAATCAAAGAGTGGTTCAATTCAAACAACTTTTGCGTTAAAGTCGCATCTTCTCAATACAAGATATAGTAGTAGAGATTAACTGATTCCCGCTTCATCGTTTCTTTACTAGATTACTTAATCTGAGTTCAATGGAAGTTAGTAATCACATTCTCTGAGTTCAATTTTAACAATTTTAGTAGATTATCTCTTTCTTTATTTTTCCGTCTCACGAGTTCAATGGAAGTTAGTAATCATTTTCATTTTTTTTTATCTCTTTCTTCACTTTTCCATCTCACAACACCCCAGTGTCCTCAATGTATAAGTGTCCGTTGTATACATAACGAGGGTACACATCACTGATCTTTTCATTCGCCTTCCCGGTCCCCAGTCCCTTACCCCTCCATTCGCCTTTCCGGTACTACTGGTAAATAGATTTTCGACTTCCCGGCCCGACACCGCTGTGAGAGTCATTACGTTTCTGCGTGGGCCACTGTAGGCCCGCAATCCCCAAAATACTTGTAATCGGTTTGAAATTGTAAATTATTAACCGGTTACCATGTGTGATAATTACAGTAAACTACGTTTAAAACGAACACGCTTATAACGAACTGAGGGCTGCAACGTACCTTTTTGGGGTCCCGGGCATTTGCTGTATATATGCTGTATATATGCTTTTAACGAACTACGGTTTTAACGAACTAGTATTAGTTGTCCTATTGAGTTCGTGAAAACCGTAGTTTAACATTCCTTTGAAGTAGTCGAAGTGTGAACAGTGTCTGTTGAGACGTGACAAGCAAATGCCATGACGTCAAACAAACATTTACTACCCGCAAAACGAAAAAAAAACCATATTACTCCGTTTAACTTACAAGACAGCTTGCATGTCGCCTTCAGTACTACAACGCAACTTTAGTGAAGTGAAGTATCATTATAAAGCACAGTCACAGACACTAAATTTCTTGATCAGCTTTGCATTTAATTAGGGCTGTATCAGCTAATTAACATTATGTTTAACAAAGGTGAAAGCCTTACCGAGACGGTTTGTGATACAGAACAACCGATATTGATGAATCAAACAAGTCAATTGTAAGTCAGTTTGTGTATGTTCTACATGTTATAATTCCCACATGTTACTCGTTCTATGTAACACAATAATACATGTATATGATACGAAATACTTGGTGGAAATCAGTACCATATGTCTTACCTCCATGTCCGAATGTTGAGACCTGAGTGGTTCACGTGATCTTGATAACATAGTACATGTACGTATCCCGGCTGGGAGATAAATACATACTATTAATATACCCCGCCAAGAGGACTGCGCATCACTTTCCGAGCTGGAAAATATATCTCTTGCACCCTGCTACGAAGCAAATAGCTGCACGTTGTTAACGGGTCAAGTCCCGTGCATGACACAGCACAGGTTAACCTCAGTTCAATCGAATAGCGTTTCCTATCAATTTTCAATGTTTCAATTATTTTAACAATGACAGATTGAAACATAGATATAATTGTTGTAGCAGTATCATTCGGTGTATAAAACCTAAAGACGGACGAATCTATAATTTTATCGCACGAACGAGGGACGCTGCTACAACTTATAATGTACAAGTATATTGTACATACAGGTACTCACGTTTTCCTCTAAATTAATGAAAATTTCTCCTCTTACTTCTTAAAATTGAAACTGAATACACAAAGTCTGTATAGCCGACCGCCTCCATGGTTTAGTGGTAGAGCGTCCGCCCGGAAGAGCGGAAGGTCCGGGGTTCGATCCCCGGCCGCGTCATACCAAAAGACGTTAAAAGATCGTACGTTGTTGTTACCCTGTCTGACGCTCGGCATTAAGGGGCTAACACAAGGACTGGTTGGCTCGGAGTCAGTATACTGTGTCTGAGTGGGGTATTCATGTTAAACTGCGGCATGGTGTCTCAGTGGGCAGGTACTATAAATCGGCATTGTAGTTAGTACAAGAAACCACACACACACACACACACACACACACACACACACACACTCACACACACACACACACGTGCATGCACGTCGCTATATTAGCGCAACAATCTTGGTGGCGACGTGCAACCCCATTTCACCTCACCTCACCTGTATAGCCGAGAAATAGCATTAAGTCCGGCTGTGTTACAGGTACTAAATGTCAGATCATACGTATGACATCATTCATGCAAATGTCACGACAGAAGATCCGGGGTAGAACAGGTCTTCAGCAAACCATGCTTGCCAATGCGACTATGCTTGTAGTAAGAGGCGACTAACGTAATCGATAGGTCAGGTTCGCTGACGTGGTTGATGCATGTCATCGATCCCAATTACGTGGGTCGATGCTCATGGTATCAATCACTGGATTATAGACCCGATTATTTACAGACCGCAGTCATATAGCTGGAATATTGCTGAGTGCAGCGTTAAACAACAAACAAACAAACACTTGTCACTTCAGAGACCGCTGTTCCTTGATAAAAAGGAAACTAATCAGTTATTTATGTTTGGTAACACCAAAGTATCTTGGGAACGCTATCGGGTTCTTGTGACTGATAATATTCCAAATAAGATCAGTGGGTTTGATTTCCCTCTTCCACAATGTCCGGATCTGGATAATTTTCATCAACACTATCAACAGTCGCCAGCAACGTACAAGAACACTTACGTAAAACGAGGCCTGTTCCCTGGCAGTAGATCCTTGAACTGTCTCTGTGCGTAAGAAATGCGTCAATAGCATTCTAGAGTCCTTTGTGTCAGCTTATCTTGGATTCTTAGTGTTGCCAAAAGTATAAGTTCCGCCCTCTTGGTTACAACAGCCAAACAATGAGAAAATATTGATTGATTGACATGGAGCACGTTTACTATATATAATCTGCTTGGAAATATGTGTACTCTCAGTAGTTGGTCAGGTAGGTGCCTTGCAATAACAGAACGTTGACTTCGGCCAATGCTAAGGTCGCGACCCTCCATCAGCGGTATGTCAAGACCTTGCAGACCGTGGGATTTTGTTACGAAGTGTGTTTGTTGGTCAATAACGCTGCCAAATTATTCTAAGACTCGGCTACGCGGACCCTCAGTCACATTGCATTGAATATATGCATCTTTTAGCCACATAATAGCCCTACCCATGTCTTCAGCGATCCAGTCATATAATTGTCACTGCCACTTAACCTTTTACACCCAGGGGGTGGGTGGGGTGGGTGGGGTGGGTGGGGTGGGGGATGGGGGGTGGGGTGGGGTGGGGTGGGGTGTGGGGGGTGGGGTGGGGTGGGGTGGGGTGGGGTGGGGTTGGGTGGGGCTTTTAACAGCGTGTCAGCTTAATGTCGGAGGAAAGCCCGAAGTGATGCAGGTCTCAGACGTTTACCACCTCGGTGAAACCAACGAGCTCGGGAAGGGTGCTGACAAACCTAGAAACATAATCGGGATTCGAGCCCACAATCATAAATTTCTGGCGTTCCCAAGGGACGCATCTCTGCAGAGCGAATCGCGGCGCCTTAGACAAACATTGAGTGAGTGAGTTAACATTTACCGTCGCATCGGTTATATTTTAGCCATATTACTCAGACATTTATAATGAGTATCTTTAGATTGAATCAAAACCTGTCAGCGGTGGACAGTAACTAGATTATCACAGTTTCAAATTTATACCTTGTTGAGAACATTTAAAAGAAGAAATTATCATTCAACAACACAATATTATAAAAATGGGCTAAAGATCCCCAGCAACCGAAATGAGGTCACCAAATAGCGTATTGGGTATATATAGAAAGTTAATCGGGCAAAGTTATTCACGACAAAGGCTTCAGCATGCTGGGTCATAGGGCTTCTGAACACAAAAGCTCCAGGTTCATCATCTCTCGTGAGATCTCACCGCGTTTCGGCAGCTTGGCTCCTTAGAGTTTTTAGGGCTTCGATTCTGCCAGACACTAAAGCACATGTAAACACAAAACACTGGTGTTTTCTTGGGCAAGTGACGTTGTTCGAAAAGTGAATGGGTACCCGGTTGGATGAGAATGAAATGTGTCTGTTAACAGTCAGCTTGGGGTGTATACTCCTTGGGGTTGTTCAGTGCACTCTGATCCAGTGACCGAGGTAACGATAGCGCTTTGGACATGCCCCTGTGTGGTGTGGAAATATGCGCAATATAATTGGCCTATTATTACTTATAAAGCAGTGGAAACATCTTAGGTTTCCTACGTAGAAGAACACGTCTGTCGCATCACCTGGAAAGATGATGACTTAGGTTTTTTTGGGATTCCAAAGGAATCTTAATTACGATGTGAAGAGCTAGTATCTCATGGTGATGACGTAATTTCTGCTATATACCACCAGGGCCCACGTGCACAAAGCCATCTTAGCGATAAGAATATCTTAAGCCTATGTTAAAGTGGTGGAGTTACAATTATCTTAGCGCTAAGATTATCTTAAGCCTATGTTAAAGTGGTAGAGTTACAATCATCTTGGCGCTAAGATTATCTTAAGCCTATTTTAAAGCAGTGGAGTTACAATCATCTTAGCGCTAAGATCGCTTTGTGCAAGTGGGCCCAGGAGGTAGCCTGCTTCACCAGTGGGATCCAGGCTCTGAAACATTGTTGTCAGAAGTGTGTGCACCTTAACCAATCAGCAACCAACTCAATCAATACAGACCATAATATATTCCAAACTTTGCACCCATCAGAGAGTGGTTTCACTTGGCAGTGTGACCCATAGGTTCATAATAACCTGATTGCCGTATTAATATCTTGACAAGGCGTGATTGTAACGCAATTTGCTGCTGACGAAACGGACAGATGATAGATGGAAATCTCTCGATCGATCTACAACTGTATGAGCTAACTTGTATGACTTTAGCTTAAAACAATTACGAGACGCATTCTAAAAAAACCTTCACTTTTCATAAACGTCCTTTCATTCTACTCAATTTTAAGTTGTATTATATGAAACATGCTGGAATGAAAGTCGATTAGGCAGCATTCAATTTTATTACACTCGACAATGAATTTCTATAAATTATGTAGTCCTAGAAACTTCAGCTCATCTTATTATTTTTGTAAATATGATTGATATGCTGCAGTTAATTCACTGTACGATTTATTTGATAATATGATAACATTGCTACAATTACAAAGTAGTATATATCATAATCATGTTTGACAGTGGGGTGACCAGGGGTGAAGGTTTCCCCGACACGCCAAGATCGATTACCCTCATGGGTAGAGCTTGCGAAGCCTTCATGTATGTGCGCCACGACATGACTTATATGTTGGTAAATGGTGACAAAAGTAGCGTCAAGCCCTGCTTACTCACTCCCTCATAATGATGGATGTATAGGTAGCGTAAATAAAGTGAAGATACATGTATTGTTTGGATCCATTGATGTTGTTTTGCAGCTTGAATTTGTTTGTTGTTTAACGTCGCATTCAGCAATATTCCAGCTATATGACGGCGGTCTGTAAATAATCGAGCCTGGACAATACTTTGGTATGGTATCTTTGGTATCGTAAGCGTGAAACTACGCAATTGGGATACGATAACATGCATCAACCAACACAACGAGTCTCGTTAGCCTCTTATGACAAGCATGGTATCAACAGGGATCAACTGTTCGGTGTAATATAGAATAGGAAATATATCAGTATAACAAGAAATATTCTAAACACTGTCAGTTTGTCGAAGACCAATTCGAACCCGGATCTTCACGTGCCATATACTAACTCTAGATCCGTGTCGTTTACAGAATATTTACATCCGAAGAATTCTCTATCACACCAAACAGTTGAACCCCATTAATACGGACAGTAGCGTTCACTTTCAGATTCCCCGGATTATAGAGTATCCAGATAAACCTTTCCAATCGGTCCAAGCAGTAGCGCGGAAGGCATTTGTTCCCGGATCAACGGGTTATGAACTAACACCTTGCGTGTGGGTTTCACAGTACAATGCTGGTCAAGAAATACGGTTAAGCTTATGCTGAGGATTTACTGTTGTGATTAACTACATGTGTGAGCCATATGATAGTTGTGCCACAACTCCAAAACGTTTCCCTATTGTATCGATCCATCAGTTTCCAGTTCTTCCGTAATTGACTCCGGCGATATTTGTTACAGTAATATCTGGCATCTGGTATCAGTAAGAATGATATTGATTATTTTGTATCAGACAATCCTTTGTGTTGTTTACACAGATCTATCAGACATAAAACAAGACCTATATTTTTTACTGTACAGCAATGCAGTATTACAGGACGCAGCAGACCATCGTGCTGTCATATGAAAGGGACTCGTGTTTTTTGTCACTGAACGCTTCTAGTCGGTGAGAATATATATATCCTATTTGGGGTGGGGCGAGGTGGGGAAAAATGGGGTTTAACGTTGCGTTCAAGATAATTGCTCTTTTGTAGCGACGTGCATGCACGTGTGGACTTATACCGATTTTATAGTGCTAGCCCACTGAGATACCATGCTGCAGTTGTACATGAATACCCCACTCAGACACAGTAAACTGACTCCGAGCCGAACAGTCCTTGTCAGGCAGGGTAACATCAAGTACATATTTTAACGTTTTTGTTTGGAATGTAGCGGCCTGGGATCGAACTTCGACCTTCCGATCTCCGAACCGACGCCCAGTCGTCTAAATCGCCGCGATTCGCCGTGAAGAATTGCGTCCCTTGGGCACGCCAGAAACCTATGATTGTGGGTTCGAATCCCAGTTCGCCCCGATAATGTTTCTAGGTTTGTCAGCACCATACCCGTGCTCGTGGGTTTCATCGAGGTGGTAAACGTCTGAGACCTGCATCACTTCGGGCTTTCCTCCCACATTAAGCTGACACGCCGTGATATACTGAACCAAATTAATAACTTCACAACCCTTTTTAAATTTTAACATTTTGACCAGTTATCATTGTGGGCCCTTATTGTGTATTTCAAAAGTAATGGCCACGTATTGTCTTCAGATAACACCCGTTTTTGTGAAGGTGAATCGATCAAAATCATGTGCACAGCACTATAGTGGCAAAAGTGTTTTTTCACGTGCAACTGGTCACGTGGCCATAATACCGCACGTGTTTTCAGACATGCTTGTTAGCAGTCATTAACAAAAAAAGAAAAACACAAGAAAACAAAAGTCTTTACGGCCGGCCATTTGTCATGCCACGCCTTTCAAATGTGCAACGTGAACGTGCCATCGGCATGTTGCAGACGGGAACGTCCGTAGCTGAAGTCGCAAGGACGATGGGTTGTAGTCGACAGACTGTTTATGATTTACAGACGCGTCTACAGCAAACGGGTACCACCGCTGATCGCCGTCGGCCAGGTCGACCACGTGTGACGTCACATGCAGAGGATCGTCAGATTGTCTTATGTCACCTCCGTAACCGATTTTTGACGGCTACATCAACCAGAAATGAACTGTTTAGGGGTAGACTGAGTGCGCAAACTGTTCGAAACCGTCTGAGAACTGCTCACCTTCAAGCACGACGGCCATACTGCTGGCCGTTTCTGAATCAATTACACAGACGTCAACGTCAATTTTGGGCATAGCGACACTTACGATGGACTCAGAGGAATTGGAATCAAGTCGTCTTCAGTGATAAATCCCGATTTAATCTTCGATTTGCTGATGGTAGGGCGAGGGTGTGGAGGCGCCGTCATGAACGTAACGCCCAGTGTTGTGTACAGGAAGTACAGATTTCGAGGCGGA